CCCAGATTCTTGGGGGCAATAATGCTGACTCTGTAAACTGCTTAGAGAGGGCTGAAGCAGTTTCTAAGTCAAAGTGATATTGCTATTGCTAGGTGCTATAATGGTGGTTGGTTGGCTGGTTTGGGACTTCCTTCCGATGAGTTTTCACATCCTGCTAAATTGAGCAAAAATTGTTTGGGGGGTTTGAATAACTTTAGGGTTGATTGACAAGAGAAGCACACACCTTGAGAAAGTGAGGGCTTCTTTCTTTGAGATTGTAATGTAAGGCTTGATGGCCAAAGAGATCATTGTTGATTTCAGAAAAGGCAGGTACAGCCACACTTCTCCGTGCATCAATGATTCACCTGTGGAGATGGTTACCAGCATCAAATTCCTGGGTGTGCAGCTAACGAATAGGCTGGCTTGGTCGCTCAACAGTGAGAAACTGGTGAAGCGGGCACAGCAGCGCCTGCATTTTCTGCATCGCATGAGAAAAGCACATCTTCCTTCCCCTGTCCTGACCACTTTCTACAGGGGGACAATCGAGAGCATCCTGTCATACAGCATCACAGTCTGCTTTGGAGGCATCCCTGCTTCAGACAGGAAGGTGGGGCAGAGAGTGGTGAGGACGGCAGAAAAGATCATTGGCGGTTCGCTCCCTCCCATCCAGGACATAGCACAGAAGCATTGCTTTAGCAGGGTCTGTAAGATTATCTGGGACTCTACACACCCTCTTCACTACCTGTTTTCCTTGTTACCTTCTGGGAGGAAGCTTCACGGTATCCGTAGCAGAACATCCAGATTCAGTCACAGCTTTGTTCCATACAGTATTAACCTTGTGAACTCTCAAGCTTCTTCCTTCAGTTATATACTCAAGATGGGCAGTATTTAATATTTATTTGCTATGTATATGTAGGGGTGTGGGTCTTTACATATGTTGTACATAGTATGTTTTAGGTGTGTGTCATGTATGTGTTTCACTTTGAGAGCAAGCAACTAAATTTTTGATGTGTGCCCACAGTAAAAAAAAAATGACAAGGTTATCTTATCTTTATATCTTATATCTTATCTTATCTTATCTTATCTTTTTCCATGGTGCTATGCTAGAGGACTTTTGACATTAGGAACCTGGATAACTTTTGAGAAGCTCTTCAATTGTGCAGTTCCCTAAACAATCACACGTTGCTTAGCCATAGGTTTCTTCCCCAAAGAGAGATTAAGAACGGAGAAGTGCAAAACTGTTTACTACACCCACTATTTCGTTATTATGCAGGATACTTTTTCCAAGTTTTAAAAGTGTATAGATAGTGTCTCAAAATTCACTCTTAATGTGAATTTTGAGACACTTAATGATAAGAATCTGAGCCTGTGTTTGAGGCAAATACTGATTATTTCCCCATCACAGTTATTGTCTCTTTAGCACCATCATGTGCCCAAAACCAGTTATTGGCTACTAGAAATAAAATGGGATATAGCATAATAGCAAGCAAGATTATTCTACTGAAAAATATTATGCCGGGCTCTTGATAATAACAACAAAAATAGAAACAAGCATAAGCAAGATATTTGTAAAAAAGGGGAAAAAACAATCCATTTTAGCAAACAGGTATAGTTTTAATTGCACAAAATACACATTTTGGCAAAAGATGAAGGAATGGGAAAATGGCTGAAGACATATAACTTGGGATTTTTGGCAGGATATGAGGCCAAAAAGGAATTGATTCCTTCTACTGTACCACCAATGAAGGTTAACTGACAGAATTTGTGAATGTACCTATAAATATTCAAAACTTAAAGAACCAGTTTAGGGACAGGTTGTCATAGAGAAAATAAGTTGGAAGGGACTTTGGAAGTCAGATAGTCCAGCCATCTGCTCAAGCAGGAGACCCTATACCATTTCTGACGTGGCTGTCCAGTGGCTTCTTAAAAGCCTCCAGTGACAGAGAACCTACAGCTTCTGAAGACAAGCTGTTCAACTGGTTAATTGTTCTCACTGTTATGAAATTTCTCCTTAGTTCTAGGTGCTTTGGAAAATAGAATAGAATAAAGCTGGAAGGGATCTTGGAGGCCTTCTAGTCCAGCCCACTGCTGGAGCAGGAGAACCTATACCATTTCAGACAAGTCTAGTCTAGTCTCTTCTTAAAAACCTCCAGTGATGTGGCTCCCACGATTTCTGGAGGCAAGCTGTTCCACTGGTTAATTGTCCTTACTGTCAGGCAGTTTCTCCTTAATTCCTGGTTGCTTCTCTCTTTGGTCAGTTTCCAACCACTGTTTCTTGTCCTGGCCTCTGGTGCTTTGGAGAATAGTTTGAGAATAGGTTGTCCCCTTCCTCTCTGTGGCAGCCCCTCAAATATTGGAAGATTGCTATCATGTCTCCTCTGATCCTTCTCTTCACTAGGCTAGCCATGCCTGTTCCTGCAACTATTCTTCATAAGTGTTAGCAAATAATAAAACAATTGTAATAATAATAATAATAATTTATTAAACTTGCATGCCACCCAATTCTCAACAATTCTGATGGTTCCCAAGAAGCAGACAAAGAAATTACAATAACATCGATCAAGATAAAAGTTGGTAAGCTTAATTAAGCAAGAGGTCTCGCTCTCTGCTGAATGCTTGGGTGAAGAGTCAGATCTCCATAGCTCTTCTGGATCAGAACAGAGTGGGGTCCATCTGGATCTTGGGGAGACCCTCACTCCAGGGGGTAGGTTCAGTCAAATGAAACCAGAGTGCACCAACCATATCATACCCTCTGGTACTACTTGCTGTAGCACTCTCCTGCCAAATGAGGCGTCCGCAGAGGCAAACCTATCTAGTTTATAATGCCTCACGAAAGGAGAAGGAAAGGACCACATTATCTAATGTAAGGACCCACCCCACTTTGCATCTTAAGACGACAGTACTCTTGGAATCTTTCTTCCAACAGGCATCTTTTATTAAGAGAAACTGGTTGCAGGCATTCTAGACAGGACCTGGGGGCCAAGCCCTACGGTTCAAGGTTTTAAGGGGTCCCCAGCAGCCCAGCCCACCCCACCATCTTTCCAGGGGCAATCTCAGGCGTTAAAACATTTTCACCCCCTTTTCCTCACTGCCGGTGGAAGGGAGACTTCAGAGAGGAGCAGATCAAAGCTGATGGCCCGATTGTTAGTCCTTTTGGTGACATCCACATTCAATCCCCTTTGAAGCTGTAGTGAAGGAAGTGAGGGCCATAAAGCCCCCTTGTTCATCCCCCTTCCCCTTCATCGTATGACAGAATCCAGAGAGGGCAGAAATGGGGTTTTCCATAGTTGATAACTAGAGATGAAATATAATTGGATTCTGACATATATCCTCAATTGACGCCTGTGTCACCCATGCCACTGAGGTTGCAGCACTGCGAGTGGAGTGTGCAGTGATACAACTTGGAACCGGCGGGGAATGTGACTGGTACGCCCCTGCTATGCAAGCCCTGATCCATCTGCCAATAGTGGAGGCAGTCACTTTCTGCCCCATTGAAGAGGGCTGGAATGAAACGAAGAGAGCTTCCGACTTGCAAAAGGACGCGGTTCGCTTAATGTAGTGACGTGAGACTCTGCGAACGTCCAAGCTGTGTCATTTATGTTCCAAGTCGTGAGACGGCTGAGGGCAAAAATCTGGCAGCACTACCTCCTGCGCCCTGTGAAACAATAAATTGATTTTGGGAACGAAGGAGGGATCCAATCGAATGACCACCCTGTCAGCATGAAAGATGCATAAGTCATCTCTGCCAGTTCAGAAATGTGCCTAGCCGATGTAACGGCTACCAGGAAGGTGACCTTAAGTGTCAAGAACCGTAGAGTGCAGGTTCTGATGGGCTCAAATGGAGGTGAAGTGGGAGCCTGTAAGACCCTGGACAGATTCCAAGAGGGATACCTGTGAACCACGGGCGGTTTAGTGTTGGTTGCTCCCTTGACAAAGGAATGCACCATGGGATGCTGAGCCAAGGGCTCTGAATTGCTATATGTAAGCACCGTGGCTAGAGCAGCCACTTGTCTGCAGATTGTGTTCGGCACTAAGCCCTTCCTGAGTTCCCCCAATAAATAATCCAAAATCCTCGGAATGGTAATTGCCGAGAGATCTGTTGCTTTGCGCACCAGTTACAGAATTTTTTCCACGTGGAGTCATAAATTCTGTTTGTTGTAGGCCTCCGTGAGGCTTGAATCATAGTAATTACGTCTAACGAGTAGGACTCTTGAGTCAGGAGCCACTGTTCAAATGCCAGGCAGTTAACTGAAGCCACTGGGGCTCTGGATGTTGCAGAATCCCTTGGCTGAGGGAGATTCGATCCATGGAGGAGAAATTGAAAGACTCATGAGGTCGGCAAACCACGGCCGTCTTGGCCAGTGTGGAGCAATAAGTATCACCTCTGCCCGTTCCTGCAGTATCTTTCGGATAACTGCCTGGATCAGAGGTAGAGGAGGGAACGCATACAGCAGACCTCCAGGCCATGGGCTGCGGAGGGCATTTGCCCTTTCCACCCCTGGAGACGGGAACCAGGAGAAGAACCTCGGGAGCTGGGAATTCACCAGAGTAGCAAACAAGTCCAGTATTCCCCGAGCCTCATTTGGTTGGGAAGACCGGTTTCACTGCGGGCTCCATTTTGGACGCCGCCTTAGAATCGTCCCGTTTGTTTCTGTGCTCGGTTTAGGGAGGCTTCGAGTGCATTGCCCTTTTTCACGGTCTACAGCGCTCTCTTCAGAGCGAATTACAGCTCTTGTTCTGTTAATTTTTTGTTTAGTAGCTTTCGGCTCCTATCTTAGCCTTCTTTTGTCGCTCGGTGGCAGTCGCCATTTTGGGTGCCGCTCGTGCTATTTTTCTGCTGGAAGCGAAAACCTTATTGTTCTGTCCATTTACTGGGGAGAACAGCTGGCTCAGGAATTCTGGGAGTTGAAGTCCACGAGTCATAAAAGAGCCAAGGTTCCCTACCCCTGGTCTAGGGCCTCCCCCGGATACCTTCCAAATTTTGCTCCTGAGGTCTCTGATTGTTCTGTCTTCCTTTCTAGGCCTGGCTGACAGAAATCCATGAATACGCAAAGCAAGACGTGGTCCTTATGCTGCTGGGAAACAAAGTGAGGGCTCGACTTACGGCCTGACGTTGGACTGGATCTGTTTTGCACACAGAAGCTGTTTAAGACGGGGAGAGGGCAGAGGATGCTGGAGATGCTTTGCATAAGAGGAAATGCAACCTCAAAGCCCTTGGCTGCCACAGGAAGGGCGGCTGGGTGCTGGTTTGGTCCATCCGAGCTAGAAATCTGCCGGGTGGTGGGACTAGGGTTATCTGAGCAGTCCCAGAATGCATTGCTCCTGCTGCAACTATTGACGCTTTCTTGTTGTGCTTAGGTGGATTCAACCCAGGACCGAGTGGTGAAAAGAGAAGACGGGGAGAAATTAGCCAAGGTATGTTAGGTACCCCCCCCCTTTATTAACATTTAATGGCAATTTAGCTCCAGGAGAGCTTTTTAAAAAATGGATCTGCTTCTGTAGCTAATATAGCATAATCTCTTCTGCTTCATCTTGTTATGGAGAATTACCAGGAAGGCGCCAAGCAAAATTACTCAGTATGCTGTGCAGATATGTCCACCTGGAAAAGATCAAAAATTTAAAAGAAAATAGGGGATAATGATTCATGTTGAACTTGTTCTGCATTTGCAGGGGCTTGCAGGCTGCATTCAGTCTTGCCTCTTCCCCAAAGTAGAATTTGGAATGTTCCCAATATCCACACAAGTATCACATAGCGAGTTAACCTGCCTATCTGTTCTGCTTTGTCAATCTTCTTGATTGCTTTTGTTTTTTCGGTGCATTTGAATCAGTCTTGACTTCCTGGTAGCTGCCTGGGCAAATTCCTGGAATTTGCCTCCTTTCTAGGGCTGAGAGAAAGGGACTAGCCCAAGATTACCTAGCTGGGTTTGTGCCCAAGGCAGGACTAGAACTCAGGCTCTCCCAGTCTCTAGTCTGATCACTACACCAAAATGGCAATTTACTGAATACAGGTTGCATATCTATATCTACATACCTACCTATCTATCTATCTCTATATCTGTCTATCTATCTATCTATATCTATCTATCTATCTATCTATCTATCTATCTATCTATCTATCTATCTATCTATCTTATATCTATATCTACCTATCTATCTCTATCTCTATCTCTATCTATCTCTATATCTGTCTATCTATCTATCTATATCTATCTATCTATCTATCTATCTATCTATATCTATATCTATCTATCTCTATATCTATCTCTATATCTGTCTGTCTGTCTGTCTATCTATCTATCTATCTCTATATCTGTCTGTCTATCTATCTATCTATCTATCTATCTATCTATCTATCTATATCTATATCTATTATCTATCTATCTCTATATTTGTCTGTCTATCTATCTATCTATCTCTATCTCTGTCTCTCTATCTATCTATCTATCTATCTCTCTATCTCTATCTCTATATCTGTCTGTCTATCTATCTATCTATCTATCTATATATCTATATCTATCTATCTATCTATCTATCTATCTATCTATCTATCTATCTATCTATCCACGCACGCACACACATCCAGGTAAGTTGAGTAGATCTTGCCCACAAAATACCAGAACTGGAAGAGGAATATTCTTTTCCCAAACTCAATATCTCGTGAAAGAGACAGGAAGGAATATTGCATCAGTGCCCCTTTTCCACAGATATGTGATCATGACTGAGAACCCATTTGGTGTTGTGGTAAACCAGGCACCAGACCAGAAAATGGGAGGCTGGCTGTTTGAGTCCGGCCTGGGGTACAAAGCCAGCTGGGTGATCTTGGGCTAATCATCCTTTCTCAGCCCGAGAAATCAGGCAATGGCAATCTAGTTCTGAATAAGGTTGCCAAGGCAACGGAAGGGACCAGTCCAGGCCGTTGCCAGGAGTCGAAATTGACTTGAAGTTACAGCCGCCGTATCACGACGATCAAAATGGATTGCAATTTGCATCCTGGAAGAATCGAGATTATGGTTTATTTCTGCTTCTTGGAAGTGATTGTACAAAGAAATCTACAAAAACTCTGCAGTTAAGCTGTGTTTTCCTTAATGACGATTGCCTGAATATAAGTAGTCCTCAACTTACAACAATTCATTTAATGATGTTTCAAAGTTACAACCACACTGAAAACAGGGACTTATGGGCATTTTTCATTGCAGCATCCCCATGGTCATGGGATCAAAATTCGAACTCTTGGCAACTGACTCATATTTATGACGGTCGCAGCGTCCTGGAGGGGCCACGTGATCCCCTTTTGCGACCTTCTGACAAGCAAAGTCAATGGGGGAAGCCAGATTCACTTAACAACTGTGTGACTAACTTAACTGCAGTGATTCACTTAACAACGGTGGCAAGGAAGGTCGTAGAATGGGGCAAAATTCACTTAATGACTGTCTCACTGAGCAATCGAGGTTTTGGGCTCAATTGTGGTTGCAAGTCGAGGATTACTTGTTAATCCTTATTATAGACTCTTCACTATACCAACTCCAAACCATTGTTGACCTCAAGGGTCTGATAGCACTTTCTGCCTTTTCAATTATACCTTTTAATAAAAAACTCTTCATCTGAAAGGATGTTATCAAATTCCTTTCAGGTTTTGATCCCAAATTATATAAAACATGTTAATATAGAATCAAAGAAACCTCAGGCTGGAAGGGCCCAGTTAGGTCTAGAATGAAAGGATTGATTCCTTCTACTTGGCTAAGGCCGGTTTAGGGTTGACCGTCATTGATACTGTAAGACGCTAAGAAAAAGACACAGGCATGTTTTGGGCAGAGGTTTGAAGCTGCAGGACACCAAACTCTTGAGTTTATTGCTTCTTATATACTTGTTACATACATAGGCTTTACCATTAAATGCTGCCAAAGGTTTCTTCATTGGAAAATGTCTGTAAGCAACTATTTTCTAGTAACACATTACATGGTCAAAGATCAGGTAAGAACAAATACAGGGAGATGAAAGCAGAAGGAACTAACAAAGACAGGAAGAGATAGGAGAAGGAACTAAGCATATTATCTGTTTAGATAGGTGACGTGTTAAGTCAAAAGGGTATGACCTTTTGGCTGCTTCACTGGGACAAAGAGGATCAAAAGGTTATGAGGTTTGTGGGGGAGAAAGCACAGCAGTTTGCTGCGCGTGCATTTTTCCCCACAGATACATACAATATTTAAGGAGAGATCCAACCTAGAAATAAGGAGGAGTTTCCTGACCATGGAACTACTTGCCTCCTGGAATTGTCTTTTCATAGGTTTATTGTTTTATGATAGAGAATAAAATACAGAACAGTGAAACAAAACACAAACATATATTCAACCCTAACCACAAAAAAAAAGAAAGAAAACCAGTGTACAAAAAAGGAGAAAAAGAGTGGTCAGTTAAATTTAACTTTTAACATGTAGGATCTACCCTGGACGAGTGCTGAAAGAAAAGAAAAAAGCAATAAGTTCTCTTCCCGTTTTACAAATGTACAAAAAAAAAAAAAAACAGTCAACAGGTTGAGCTAAACATTAGTCGTCCAAAACTTTTTTCTGATAATAATGCAGTGTCTTTACACCTACCGGAATTGTGGATGCTCCACCACTGGAGGTTTTCAAGAAAAGATTGGACCACAATTTGTCTGAGATGGCATGAGGACCCCTGCCTTTGATCTAGAAGACCTCCAAGGTCCCTCACAAACCTAGGATTGTAGGATTCAATTTTTTTGCAGCATCTCTGGGCTGCAGTAGGGTACAAAATGTGGTTCCACCCCAGGACATCTTGAGTCAGACTGTCTAGGACAGGGGTAGGCAACCTTGGCTCTTTTATGACTCGTGGACTTCAACTCAACTCAAGTTGACTCAAGTCCACGAGTCATAAAAGAGCCAAGGTTGCCTACCCCTGGTCTAGGATAACATGCATGCAGAGGGGGGCAGTTCTGACACGAACCACACAACCCGTGTGTGATGGCCCTTGTCCAGCCTGACCAGGGGAATTGGAGAGGAAAACCATCAGCCCTGAATGCCTTATTTTCTTTGGTGCAGGAATACGGGGTGCCCTTTATGGAGACCAGCGCCAAGAGCGGATTGAATGTGGACTTAGCATTCATGGCCATCGCCAAGTAAGTTCCTTCATTTCCATTTTCCCATCAAAAGTGCATATCCCTCACCAACATGCAGTTCCCATGAACACTGTTTGCTCACCTTTGGCAGAAAGAGAATGGTGTGTGTCTCTGTGCATCTCTGATAAGATATCATTTATTGTCACTTTTTTCTGTGAACACACTGTGCACATTAAAAAATGAAATTCTGATGATATATCCATACAGCACATATATATACTATGATATATCTAAATATATCCATATCATGTATATTATATATCATCCATATCATTCATATACATAAGTATGTGTGTGTGTGTGTGTATATATATATATGTGTGTGTGTATATACACACGTGTATATATATATATATATATATATATATATATATATATATATATACACATACATACATATATTCAATACTACACAACGTTCAAACTCTGGGATAAATATAAATCAGCTGTTTATTGTTAAAAAAATTAAAACAATAAAAACAACTATTTTCAATGTTAAAACAAACTTAGCTTTCGCTGGTCCACTGCCAGTGTCTTCAGAGTAAAGCATTGGGGTGGAGAAAGATCTCTTATAAGCCTTGCTAACTTAGTTTTTTTTGCGGGGGAGTGGTTAGTAAGCATACCAACAGTAACAGCACCAGAAAGGAAGGATAAGGAGGGGAGAAAGAGAAGTTGTGGAACTGGAATGCAAACAAGGGGAGGCGGGACATTTAAGGCAATTACAATCAGTTAGGATGAATGGCCCTATCACGTGGTCAATGTGTAAAAAACTAGGTTAGCAAGGCTTATAAGAGATCTTTCTCCACCCCAATGCTTTACTCTAAAGACGCTGGCAGTGGACCAGCGAAAGCTAAGTTTGTTTTAACATTGAAAATAGTTGTTTTTATTGTTTTAATTTTTTTTAACAATAAACAGCTGATTTATATTTATCCCGGAGTGCACAGCTGACCAAGTCTTGTGTATTCAATTGTCAGGGAGCTGAAACATCGGTCCATGAAGCTGCCCCACGAGCCACGGTTCAGACTCCACGACTATGTCCGGAAGGAGGTGAAAGGCGCCGGCTGCTGCCGCTCATAGACTCTCTCTCGGGGGTCCCGTCCAGACCCCCCTCTTCGAGGAGACTTGCCACAAGCAGCCCACCCTGCCTGCTGCATCCGTGTCTGCCACTCTCGTTCTCCTCCTTCCTGCTGCACAAGCTCTACAAATCTCTTCCTTGTGTCTTCTTGTCTTTGTCCAGGTGAAGCTTGGAAGGATTGAAAGGGGGGGGAGCTTTTTTTCCTTCCCCAGGGCAGGCAGGTGGTTTTGCAAGAGAGAGCTGGGATAGAAGCAGCAAAGGACAATCTGAATGTGGACGGGCCTTGGGGGTGGGGAGGGAGAGATTTGCGCAGTCTCGGTGTTGATGTCCTGTGTGAGTGCCTGCCAAAGGGAGTGGGGTCACAGGGGAGCATAGGAAGGGCTCCCCTAAGACCTCACCAAGGAGGGCCCAGTTGCCGTGGGTGGACTTACGAGCGACCGTTGATGTGGGACTTCAGCTCCACTTTCATCATTACTGCCTCAATGGGTACCCAAATATGGGGGATTCCACTGTTCTTTATTTTTTAATAGAACGAATTTAAATGTGTGCTATTGCTGAGTTTTTCAAACACCCAAACTAGATGACTCGTCTTGACTGTAGGTTGCTAGCCAGTCATCCTGTTCCGCAGGGCAGAATAAACCTGTTCCATCTGCTGTAAAAGGCTTGGTTGTTGTGCTGTAGCTCTGGCAACTTGCTTATAGTTCATCCCTGCGCAGTAGAGTGCGCCTTTTTTTATAAAAGCATAAGGGAGCAATCTTGTATGTTCGGAATAAGTTGGATCCTTCATTTTCTTAATGCATACCCAGTGGTTGATCCCAAGTATGGTCGATCTCCTTTCTGGAATTCTATCCCGATTGAAAAAAACGTGGCTCTTTTCATCAAGATGGACATTTGCACCCACCCAAAGAAGGGAGAGTGACCCAGAACCCCAATGGCAAGTGGGGGGAAATGTCTCTCCAGATCAGGGCAGGCAAAGGAGCCCCGCAAGCTTAATTCTTGGGTCAAGTTGATGGGACAGAGATGTAGCAGCTTAAGAGCCCTGGTGATGCAGTGGTTAGAATGAGTATTGCAGGCTGACTCTGCTCACAGTCTGGAGTTTGATCCTGACTGACTCTAGGTTGACTCAACCTTCCAGAGTCAGTAAAATGAGGACCCAGATAGTTGGGGGGCAATATGCTGACTCTGTAAACTGCCTAGAGAGGGCTGTAAAGCAGTATGGAGCGGTATATAACTAAATGCTATTGCTATCTCTCTCCCGCTGTGGTAACGCAGTGGTTAGAATGCAGTATTGCAGGCTAACTCTGCCCAGTCTGGAGTTTGATCCTTACTAGCTCAAGGTTGACTCAGCTTTCCATCCTTTCAAAATCAATACAGGCTCAAGATTGTTGGGGTGCAATACATTGACTCTGTAAAACAACTTAAGAGTGCGGCAAAGTACTACAAGATTAAATGCTACTGCAGTCTTCCAGCAGAAGGCAGGAAGGGTGTAGAACCGCCTGGGCCACTCTTCCCTCCCCACCCCAACTGAGGGGATCCTGCCCAGCTGCAGGACAAGCTCTGCTCCTTCATGTAATCCTCTCTGCTGCAGCTTTTTTACTTGGCCCTGTGACTTCCAAGCAAGGGGCTCTGTGTTTGCACCAGCCTTCTCCAACTTGTTGCACGCTCCAGATGCATTGGACTGTCAAGTCTTACAATCCCATTAGAACAGCCATGGTGTAAGTCCAACACACCTGGGGAGCACCTACTGGTCTAGAGCTTTCAGGGAAGCTTCTGCCTTGATCTTGCAAGTACCTGCCAATCCAGGCAAGTCAGCAGCCCAATTGTACTGTAGAAGAGGACAAGCATACAATATCAGCCTGTTTATTTCAGAGTATTGGACAATGTGGATTAGGTGCTTTGTGATGTGTGCTAAGTTGCCATTGGGCTTCCCTTGCTAAATGTCGTTTTCCTTGTGCCCAGATGTTTTGAGTCCTTTACACAGCCCTAAACTGGATTATCGTCACCATTCTCCAAGGAAGAAATCTATCAAAGGCAGCTTGCATATCGCATGTCTGCAGCTTAGCGGCTTGTACATCCACAAGCCGGGAGGAAACTGCGTGCAATGCAGAACTGCAGGAGTTGGGCCAGTCCTGCCTTAACTTAGATCCTGCATTTGTGGCTTGGCTTTGGCAACCCCATTTGGCAAGCGCATGGGCTGCCTTGGCAGGGACCCGGCCCGTTTCCTACCTGGCTTTGCTGCCATGTAACTGGAGAGGTCAGACCAGTTCCTGAGCATCTTGAAAGTATTATTTATGTACCGAGGTAAATGTTGGCTCTGTTTATAGCTTTTTGGGGATTCTCATAATAAACAATTTTTTAATGATGCTTGCTTCTCAAGGTCTAAAGCAGGCCTCCTTCCTAAAAAGGTCTGTGTTTCTTTCTTTGCCAGTACTAACCCATTCATTTAAGTGAAAATAACAAGTTTTGCATTCTGCCCGATTAAGATCTCAAAGGTGTACACTGTTTAGTGTTAAGGTTAATTTTACACAAGTTTGGTTGAAAGGGCTGTCCAAAGAAGGGACATCAGGCTGAAAACTGAAGGGGGGGGGGGGAGAACCATAGCATGTTGTTGGGACAGAAAGAAACCACTTTGGGCTAGCCAGTCTAAAGATGGAAATTATTTTCCTAACTGTCTATAGAGCAGTGGTTCTCAATCTTTTTAATGACGTGACCCCCAACCGGTCGTACGTTGAGGACTAAACTGGTCGTAAGTTGAGGACTACCCAACCAGTCATAAGTCGAGGACTTTCCCTGCCCGGGAATGGTGCCGCCCCCTGCGCCGGCCGAGGCGTAGCTGGCAAGCAGCAGAGATGGAGCAGGCCGACCACTGGCTGGGCCACCAGCTGGCTTAGCCCAAGGGAGGTAAGTCACCCACTGGAAAAGGGGGAAAAAAATGGCAGACAGCCTTGCTTGGGGGTCGATCGACCCCAAATGGGGTTGCGACCCATAGGTTGAGAACCGCTGGTCTAAAGCATCACTTAGGACTAATGGTTCTGCTTTGAATCCCAAAAGTGCTTTTTCAAGAGGCAACTGGACTCTTTTTTCCCTTGAAGACCTTTTGCTTCTCATTCAAGGAGCTTCTTCAGTTGTGACTGGTGGAGAATGGAAGGATTTATATTTCTTGCAGTCATCTGGTTGTTAGCACTCTGAGAGTCATTGAGGCCACTTGGAGGTTTTATTTGCTCTCAGGGCCACCTGAATAGTGCAAATAAGGATGAAACCCTTCAGCAGTTCCAAGAAGTCCCATTTGCACTATTCAGGAAAAAACAAAATCTAGTTGCCTTTTGAAAAAAGCACCTTTGAGACAGCCATGACCTGGATAATTGGGAATCTCCACAAACGCTCTTGCTTAGAATGCATCGCGGTTTAAACTAAAGAATTTAAGGCACACTCTGAAAATGATGCAGTTACTTTCCAGACCTTATTTCATTATTACTCAATTGAAATTTGGCAACTTGGGAGATTAAGGGAACTCTGCATTTCTGACAAGCATTTGACAGAAGCATTAGGAGACCAAACCCAGCAAGGGGAAAATGATTTTTGCCTTGACCTTCAAAGCACTTGCCCGCTTCAAGGTTAGCGACTTAACCTTTGGGTTCACCAAGGCAAATGGAGTTATCAGAATGTATAATGGTCTTTCTGTACCATGAAAAACTGTTTGGACTGTAGGGTTATTAGAAAGTTCAAACAACTTTTCAAATTGTTAACTTTTTTTATTCGTAAATAAGGATCAAAATAAGTTTATCTGCCACAACAGAATTGGCTTATAAATGATGTACAATAGTCATTTCACAGGAAAATAGTAACAACTGGCACTGAAGAACTTCCAAAGTTTACTGCAATGATTTTTCATTTTACTATAACGCTTTTTCTTAGCAGCAAGGTATTAGATATATTGGAATGGCTCATACAAAAGGCAGCAAAAATGAAATGACTGAAAATTGAGTTTTCAAAAATGCAGTCCCTTTTTAAGCTGGCCCAAATTATTCAGCATGCACTGGAACATTGCAAGATTTTGATGCATTATAACTATTAAAAATCATCAGTACCAGACTAAGTGCCATCTATTTCCAAAGTGGGATGATCCCTACTGTTTGGAATCTTAGTCCCAGCTCACTTGTCACCAGGTGGTGTTCTTGGATTTTTGTTAACTGCCACACAGAGAAGCAGCTCTCAGCCCTCTTTGATCCTCCCTGCAGCATTTGAGCAGTTTAGGGATTCTCTCTGCCTGTGCAAAAATAAACACTGCACAATTGACACAGGCAGTTCTTGAGATGCAACTGCAAGGGATCCTGCCTGTTGAGGTCACACGTTGTGGCAGTCCTTAGGTGAACATTGTCACTTAACCACCCCTCCACACTCCAAAGAACTGTTAAATGAACAGGTAGGTTATTAAGCAGAACTTGGGGTGCCTCCTGGTTGGGGGAGGCAATTGGAGACTTAGGACAAGCCCAGGCCTGCCTATCCTGGTGTCAGACCTGCCACAACTTAAACCTCTAAATAGAAACCATCCGTGACTCCATTTCTTGAGAAAGATATTAGAGAATTTGCATTTCTCCTTCGTCACCATTTCCATGACTCAGAACGTTGGGATAAAGCAGGTTTTGTCAACTTCCACTGTAGTTCAGTTGAGGGACATTACACCCACCTGCAAAAAATGATACAAGATTAATTGAAAAGCTTTTCACCATTATTATTTGACTCTTCCTACCACCACCCTGCCCAACACTGATGTTAACATTGGTCCTGGGTATTCAACAACGGCTCACTATATATACCTATAAGCCCTAGCTTGATTTGGGGGGGGCTAATATAAGCCCTACTCCAAAAATAAGCCCTAGTTTTGGAGCGAGATGCTTGACTAAGTCAAGCTAGGGTGGGAGGTTACCTGTGAACCCATAGCAAAATGCAGACCTGAGAGTTCCATTCTCAGTGCAGAATGAAGCTGCTCCTTCGGCCGCAGAAGTAGTGGGCTAGCTGGGCGGGGCTGTCGGTGCCAGAGGTTAATGGAAAGGACACCCCCCCTGAAAATAAGACCTGGTGCCTCTTTTGCAGGCAACCTCCCCAACAACCCAGGTCTTACTTTTGGGGAACACAGTAGCAAATACAGTCTTCCTTAGAAAAAAGCTTTTCCAACATCTTAGTGATGTACTCGATTGGAAACAATGCTTTTATCCGTCATAAAAAGTCACTTTATTACCTGTTGTGCAGTACCTGCCTTGTTTCAATCTGCTTCTAAAAAAAAAAAAAGAACATGAGTGCCATTGATTTTCTAAACCAGCAATCACAAAACTCTATAAATATTCCAGAGGAGTTGGACCAGACTGGGGCCTATAAAATAAACTGAAGACCTACCCGACTGGGAGGCCCCAATTTTAGGAACTGTTCTAAAATAACATCCCCCCCATCTCAACTCAGACCTAGTACCCTATTATATGAATGCCAAGCCTCAGTTCATGTCTGAAATCACCAACTGCAAGCAGTTTTCATACGAGGTGTCAGAAAATAATATAGAATTCATCATTGGCTGGTATTTAGGTTAAGAAAATTCTTTCTTACAAACAAGTAAGACGCACCTTTCTTGTCTCTACATTTTGATCTGATGTTACTCAGCAGGAAACATACCTGAAAAAGATAATCTTATTTGTACAGAAAAAGATCAACCTAAATTAACCAAATAGATATATACATTGCTTACTGGTGTACACCGCTTAGAGAGTGCTTGCACTTAAAGCAGTATATAAGTCTCACAAATAAATAAATAAATCCTCCCCCCCCCCCATGCTTTCGCTACTCCAGGCAGGCAGGGCAGCTCTTCAACCCAAGGCCAACATCGGTGGCTCGCGGCTCTTCACAACCGGGGAACAGGAACGCAGGAAATGAGCAGGGAGGCCAAAGAGTCGCCAACCTTACCGAAGGCTATTGCGGCATTCGAGCCGACTTGGGAGAAAGGCCGGCGGTGTTGCCGCGTCTCCCTCCGGCCACAAGGCGGCAGCAGCGCACTCGAACAGATCCTCATTCCGGAGGCGCGAAGGGACGAAAGAACAAAAATGCCACGCGTGCGCCTTTTATACTGCTTGTCGCTTCCCGATTGGCTGGCATTTGTGCGCGGTCAGCCAATCCCGTTGCTCCTTTCCTCTCGCCCTTCGTAGCCAATGTAGTTTCGCGATCTTCCTCTTCTTTTTTTTTTAATCAGCCGCGTCCATTCGCCGTCCGCGTTGCGACTGTTCTTCGACCTCTTGAGGCCACGTGATTGGAGGAGCCGACGCGACTCGGGAGCCGGAATTGGCCAGGAACATTCTTCGAAATCCTAAAGGCTGAGGAGGCGGAAGGGGCGGGCGAGTCTCCTGCAAAGCGGGGCCTGATGGGACTTGTAGGCAACGCGCAGCTAACGGCGCCCGGCTCTGTGTAATCGCTACGCTACCAGGACTACGACTCCCGGTGACTCAGGAAGGGGCTGACGAAGCGGCACTTCCGGCCCGGCTGCTGCGAGGGGAGCGGACGAGACGGCCGGCTGTGCGCTTTTCGGCACTGGCGGGGCGAGCGGCGGAGAGGCGCCATGCGGTGGGCAGCCGCGCGCAGGCTGCCCCCGCCGCCCCCGCTGCCCACAGGTGAGCGGGAGGGAGCGCGGGGCGGAGGCCGGAGGAGGAGAAGGCGGCCCTTCCCCGGCCCAGACCATCCTCATGCCGAGCGGACGGGCTGGTGCCGGTGACTCCAGCTCCCATCAGCCCCGTCAGTGCGGCCATTGCGACGGGGGACGATGGGAGGTGCACAGCCCGGGAAGGGAGATCTCCCCGGCCTGTCACGGGGGTCCCTGCGGGGGGGGGAGCAGCGCCTCCCGCTCTCCCGAGCTCGGACCACCCTCCTGGACGGCGAGTCTCGCTTGGCTGGGGGTTCTGGGGTTTGTAGTCCCGGCATCTCCGGATGGGGGGGGCACTTGAGGAAGGTCGGCTTACCCCAGTGCGCCGCCTCTCTCCCCCCCCCCAATACCTCTGGTTCTACCTTTCGGCTGCTTTGCCCGTCAAGGATCAGCTTGAGAAGGTGGTTCTGAGGCTCTTTCCTCGTCGTCTATAACCAGATTGATTTATTTATTTATGAGACTTATACACCGCTTTAAGTGCAAGCACTCTCTAAGCGGTGTACACCAGTAAGCAATGTATGTATATATTTACATTGCCCCCAACAATCTGGGTCCTCGTTTTACCTACCCCGGAAGGATGGAAGGCTGAGTCAACCTTGAGCCGTGAGATTTGAACCGCTGACCTGCTGAACACAGTCAGCTAAAGTGGCCTGCAGTCCTGCACTCTAACTGCTGCACCACCTCGGCTATCATCTATCTATCTCTCCTTATCTATCTGTCTATCATCTATCTATCTATCTATCTGTCTATCATCTATCTATCTATCTATCTATATCTATCATCTATCTATCTCTCCCTATCTGTCTATCTATATCTATCATTTATTTATTTATTTATTTGTGAGACTTATATACCGCTTTAAGTGCAAGCACTCTCTAAGCGGTGTACGCCAGTAAGCAATGTGTGTATGTGTGTGTATATATATATATATATATATATATATATATATATATATATATATATATATATATATATATATATATTGCCCCCAACAATCTGGGTCCTCATTTTACCTACCCCGGAAGGATGGAAGACTGATTCAACCTTGAGCCGGTGAGATTTGAACCGCTGACCTGCTGAACACAGTCAGCTAAAGTGGCCTGCAGTCCTGCACTCTAACTGCTGAGCCACCTCGGCTCTTAGATTTGGTTAGAAGATGGGCAATTATATAAATATTATAAATAATTGAAACAGTGTTGCTGAGAAGCTGTGAATAAGCAGTCCTTTCAACCCTCTCTGTGATTCACCTGGTATGTTAGAAATAAATGGCCACTCCAGAATACCATTCTTAGCCCTTCAGGTTCAGGGAAATGTAAGCAGATTGAACTTTGACTTGGGACACATACGTTTGCCTTCATTCGAGGTTGAACTTTGGCTGCTTTCTGAATGCCTAAAGCAGGATCTGCCCCAGACCCATTGTATCCCGAAAAGCTAAGGTTGCAGCAGAGAAGACCCAGATTTTGCACAAGCAGGACCATCAACAAGGCTTCTCTGAAAGATCTCAGATTGCGGTACGGTCTGTACCAGATTGGATAGCATCGCCTTTCGTTTCTTACATCTTTGTACCAGGTTCACGCCCTGCAGAATAAATAAAGGCCAGAATGACTCTAAAGGTCAGCTGAAGTAACATTCCATTAAGCAAAGTTGTTTCCTTCTCAAAAGTGAAGCAAACAATTAACACAAACATGCCAGGTAAGTTTAGGTACAAAGTTCAAAAGGTTTTCTTACTCCTCTGCTGTTGAGATGTAAGCAAAATAGCTGTCTTTCACTCTTAGCGTATCCTGGAAGAAATGGATCCTTGAACAAGTCAACCCAGAGTTCTCTCTCCCAGAGCACAAAGGACCTGGTGTAAATTATAATGTGTCTACTTCAGACCCATTAAGCAAAGACTCAGCTCTTTGGAAAAGGCTCTAATGTTGGGAAAGATAAAAGAAAAAAAAGTGGATGGACTTGGTTACAGAGGTGATGAGTGCAGCATTGGGAGATATGAAAGAACAGATTAGGGATAAATTGTCTGAAAGAAAATCAGGTTTTTTTTTAATGACTCTTTAATCCCTTTGTTTTGGGGTGGGGACAACTGAGTGGAGCTGAGCATTTATTGGCCAGATGCCCTTCCTATTGCCTTTGTGGAGTTCATTGCAGATATTTTCTTTCTGCGCCCTGATAGAGAAACATCTACTGTTGCCTAGGATGGAACTCTCAACCTTCTGAGTGGGAGGTGAGCATCTTCACCTCTAGGCCACCATGCTGCTCATCTGTATGGTCACTAAAAGTGGAAAATGACTTGATAGCATATAATTAACGTTAAAGTCTTTTTAAGTGCCAGGTGTGTGCTATCCAAATGTGGACTGCTAGCTTTCAGGTGTTCTGCCAATTAAAGACATTATTAAGCTTTCCATGATCTGTGGATTGGGTACATGCACATATAAATCTAGGTGGTTCAGGCATGTCCTTAAGACACAAAAATGGACATCTGAGCTAAACATTTACATCGGTGAGATGTATGCACCAGTGTCAAAGATATTGCTTGTGCCATTAACAAGTTATATGTTTGGAATAAACTGCAAGAGGATAACAAGGTGCCTGCACCAATAATCACTTGGGGGGAGGGGGGGTCAGCTTAGTGATTCAGGGAGACAGGATATTTGGGTGCTACCTTCAAGGAATGTGTGAGCAGTGGCTTGGCCTTAGTAACTAAGCAGTTGGGGGCCTGGGCTTTGAAGATAGATCATTGGGGAATTCAAAAGTTTAAGGCTTGGCTGGGGAGCAGGAAACATTCTGAAAGAGGGAGTCAGTGAATAAGTTCTGTGCTGTTGCCCTTTCAGCCTGGGTTTTTAACATATTAAAATATTTTTAAGGATTTGGGCAGCTTATCTTCATTGCTGGTATTTAAATCCTTTGGTCCTGGGAGTAAATATTTTTGTAAAATAAATGTCAAGCTTGTATTTAAGAATCTAACTTTCCATGCCCCTTCTTTTAATCCAGGAAACTCCAAGGTCATCATGGCAGTTAAATCTTTTATTTGTATGTGAAGGTGCAAAGTTGATGTTTTAAGCATCATGTGTTGTTAAGATTATTTACTCCTAAGAGTCTCAAGTTGGCTCATTTTTTTCCTCATGGAGAATTAGTACAAGGATTAAGACACTCATTTGACTTTTTCCACTGAAACATGCAAAAAAACAAAGCTGAACATTTTCGGCCCACTTTTACTAATCCTTGTCCATTGAGTTCCTAGGTAGGGCAGGGGTAGGCAACCTTGGCTCTTTTATGACTCGTGGACTTCAACTCCCAGAATTCCTGAGCCAGCCACGCTGAGGGGAAAGGGAGAGGTTTCCAAGCTGAGCCATGCTGGGTCAGGAATTCTGGGAGTTGAAATCCGTGAGTCATAAAAGAGCCAAGGTTGCCTACCCCTGGCATAGGGCATACATAAAAAGATTACATGCTCAGGTGTGGTAAAACTAATTCACCGTTCTTTGTATCTTGGTGGAATCACACGTGTGGTCCCTGTGCCTGTCGGCAGATCTTATGTAATTTCAGATGTTCTAACACAGTGGTTCTCAACCTGTGGGTCAGGACCCCATTTGGGGTCGAACGACCATTTCACGGGGGTCGCCAAACAACGCAGTCCACCATTTTTTTCCCCCTTTTCCTTAGCTGTGCTACTCCCTTTTCTTCTATTGGCTTTTGAAAGTCAATAGAATAGACTCTCTTGAATAGAGTCTAATTCTACTGGCTTTCCAAAGCCAACAGGAATTGTCCAGGCTGTCTCTGCCCTGCTGAGCCCGCCAAAAGTCCCATTCTGCAAACGGTGCTGCACCAGTTGAGTAGTCCTCGACTTACAACCGGTTGGGGGTCGCGGCATTAAAAAGGTTGAGAACCACTGGTTTAAAGTCTGTGCTGCTTGAAGGGAGTGGCTCTTCTGATTTTGCTCAATCCTCTTCCTGGCAGCTGTGCACAAAAATCCTTCCCCTGCCGTTATCATTCTGTTTTCCCACCCATCCCTTACTTGCTTTTTTTTTTAATCTATCCTGTTCCTCCTGTCTCTGTCACTCTTGTCTGTATAGTTTCAACTTCCTCTTTTTCCTTCTGCATAAACGCCTCCTCCAGAGATGGTTTCACTTCTTATTCCGGCAAGCCGATGCTTTTCCCAAACATACTGGAGAGTTAGTTCCTTGTGCAGCTTGTTCCTGTGTTACTGTGAGAGAACAGAAGCGGCTTCTGAGGCCCAGGTCTCAGCTTGATACTTGTTCCAATCCACCACCCCGATCAAACCCCATGACCCTAGTAAATTAGAAAGTTAGGGAAGATTTAAAGCAAACTTTCTATTGCATGAAGTTTCTATCCAGCTGTATTGGAAGTCCTCGACTTTCAACTACAATTGAGCCGAACATTTCTGCTGCTAAGTGAAATATTTGTTAAGTGAGTTTTACCCC